GTCTCTGGATCTCGGAGCGTGGCCTACAAGTTTTTGACTCAGCAGGTTGAAGAATAAGATTCGTGAGTTCTTAGTCTGAATTTCAGAGTATGGAGCTTAAAGTTCGCAATTCGTAGTTCAATGCCTTTGGTTGGTATTTCAGAGTTTGAAGATCGAAATTGGATGTTCAGAGACCAAAATATGCAGTTGAAAGTTCAGAGTTTTGCGTTCGGAACGCAAATCTCAGCACTTAAGTTTAAGCTTCGGAGTTCGAAATCAAACATTTGAAGTATCCTGTACTTAGATCACGGTTTGCAGTCAGTATTAAAGAGTTTATTGTTCAGTGTTTTTAATTTTATTCTTATAAACGCTTAAGCGACGATGTTAACTTGCGGCATACCAGTTCATTGAACGTCCGAACCACACATTTCAGTCAGTAGTTTTTAAGACTATCGGTAGATTTTTAATCAGATCTCAATCATCCCAAGTCGGTTAAAGTAGTTGAAGAAGTGATACTTGAACTTGCCCACAATAATTTGGTTAAGCTTTAGGATGCTATTAAATTTCACTTAACCTTGCCTCTCAAAATGCTATCTCATCCAGACTGGACTGCGGTTTCCGCCCAGAACCTCAGGCGAGATTTTATATCGAATCGTAAATGTGGTACCACTGCACTAGAAAGTCACGAGTTCCAAAGGGTCACAAAGTAAAGGTCACATTCAAGGCAAGTCAGGCCTCATCAAAATCTCGCCTATTGTCGCATTGTAGATTAGGCTAATGTGCTTGCCAATGTAATCAATGACACTACTCATTTTGGATATAAGTAGAAAGTATTCAGTTAAGACGAGGAGAGGCAAGAATAAGGGAAATTCTATGGCCTCAAAAAGCTTACTGTCACCTTTAGCGACCTGTTCCGACTAAGTTCTTATTCAATCATTGCTTAATGTCTCGACAGCTACTTACTTCAAAATGGGTCAACCTGGTGTACTCTTGAATTCCCACCCACTCACAAGGAAACAGTTTTAACTTTGCCTACAGTCACACGACGAGCTGCTATGAATAAAGCGGAAATAGACACAAATCCCTATCACGCCGTCTCTACAGAATGTATGTTATTTGAGCTGAATTATGCGATGAGTCAATGCTTGGGGTGAGCATGAGATCGGCAACAGTGCCAAGGGGTTCGAGGCAAAAAGGTCATTCCTCACTTTTATGTATACGGCGTGAATGTCAAAGATAAAGATGGACGTCATCGCCATGATTTGAGCCGAACCAGTGATCGTGATCGCCATCACGCAGATCAGGATCAGCGCCACCTGACCGTAATGACCAAACAAATGCCTGGCAACAACCAACGGCACCAGGCCTGCGGGAAAAGGGAACAGAGGCATTAAAATGCAAACAAGGCCAAATGTACACAAAAGCCCAGAAACCAAGGACCCAACCCGAAGGACTATTTTTGAGGTGAACCACCAACTGACCTTTCAAGAGCAGTTTGAGTTACCTGATTCTAGGTTCGAGTCCCACCAGAATTCGAGAGAAGGCCCACGTGTGAAGAAAGATTCCTTTGAATGCAGCGAAAAAGCTACTTGATCTTGTTGTCAGTCACGTTTGCCAAACTTCTCTGCCAGAGTAGATATGATAGTTTTTCCTGCAGGTCTGTGGGCTTGGTAAGTTCAGGTGCCAGGAAGCATCATATCTACCATAGCCGAGGATTTGGGACAATATTGCTTCATTTAGGTCGCCCTGACAACAGGAAAAACTTCGAAAGTGAGGTGAACTCCCTTCAATTCGGTAAAAGAAGACTGAGATCAAAGCAGAGACCACAAAACCTCTTGTGTCTACAATCAAATGTGAACCGTACTTCCATTTCGAGTGAAAGTGTTGAGTGAAGAGATTCGAAGGTCGGT